ACCAACCTTATCCTCAATCTTCACTGTAGCAAAGTTGAGAGAGATCAGTCCATCTTCCTCATTTATATCAGCAAATGAAGATGCTTCATGGGAGTCTACATCCAGGTCAAGGTCTAAGTCTGTAGCCCCCTATAAAATAATGATATTCACACTAATATAACTGACATGGAGAATGAAAAGATCTTACAGTTTTAGTAATAATATATGAGTTATGCCTAAGTAATCAGTAATAGGACTTAATAAGGAACATATCAAAGATAAGTACATGTGTGACCAAACTGAAAATGTATTGTAAGTTAAATTTATTGAGTAAATGATCCAAGACATCTCAACTCACATTCACATCAACAAACGTAAATGGGATGTGCATCTCCTCATCACTCTCTTGTTCTACATGAATTAGTTTCGATGCAGCTGTTGAAGTTGTACAAGGAAAACAATTTTCTATGTCATTTTCCATCTTAACTTCATCCATGTTTGCTGAAAAACAATCTCTGTGATCAACAGTACATACGCTGTTTAAAAAATGTTCTTAAAAAGTGCTTAGTTACCACATTTAGTTTTAAGAATTAATGCTTAGTCAATCTCAATTACGTCTGCGTGGTCAATGGTCCTTCTGTCGGTATGTTTGGAAGATGGATGTATTTTAGAAATCCCACACTAGCAGATGTGTGCATGGCAACATTATGACCAACACCACGTTAGACCGAGAATCAGTAAGAGACAAGATTTTCCCGTGTTTTTCATTATTAACAAACTTTCCGGGAATTGGATGATTACCATACACAACCTGAGCTACACACGCGCGCGCGCCCTTCAACGCATAACCTGAGTAGTAAATTAGATGACTTAAGTCACGCTGTGTTTGATTGATACATTGTCACATACAATTTCACAGCAACATTCCATATAAATATTCTTTGTGAGTTTCAAGAAGTTTTAAATACCGAAACTTAAAAATCACTTCGTAATTATCACTGTCGTTATTACGAAGCCGTGTCACAATTTTAATATCACGGGTGACAAAACGTTTTGCGTATACATTTATGCCATCACTTTCAAGTCTGCTTGTGCAACTTGATCATACTTCGACTTTACTGGATGATAACTTCCATGGGTTATATTGATATTCTTGGCTAGGCGAGTCTTAATTTTCCTGCAGTTTGCAAAGTAGATCAGTGTATGTTTTTGCGTCAGTCGCTAATTATTCATAGCCATAAAAACTGCATCATGATTGTGGTAGAGACGTATACACGTTAATATGGTAAGTACAGTTCGATAAAATGGAGATTATTGTACGTGCCCCAAGGCAGTAGAATGGCCATGAAAACTGTTCATTGACTTCGTTGGGAAAGAAAGAGAAATTGCCAGTACTTTTGATTTTGTAAAAGAGTGACTTGAACCTAAAACACTGCTTCAGATATCTAACAGACGTGGTTTTCAAGAATTGTAATGTTCATTTTGAACCTGTTGGGTCATTTTTTCATATAAATTACTTTAATTCTACTGTTTTCCATTTTAACAATGCTGTCAGTAGCTTAGACAGTATAGTGTCATTTATTTTTATGCTGTTTTGTGTCACTATTGTGTTATCTGTAGAAGGTGTAAAATGAAAGATTTGAAAATTTGGTAACACTGAATACTGATACTTTTCTTTAGTTTCTAAAGAAGAATATTACAATGGGAGTGCATAAGAAAGTGGTTTATTTCTTGCTTGTAAATATGGGGAATTTTAGAAATAGTGTATGTCCTATTCTTTTTGCATGAAGTGAAAAACACCATGGTTGAATAGGTAACATTCCTTCTTTCTGTTGAGTTTAGAAACTGACTTTTCTCTCTGACATTTTCCATGGTTGTCTTCAGTATCAGCAATTGTCTGGATAGCACCATAAGTTATATCATGACTGCTTCCTTCTACATTCATTTCAATTTATCATTTACAAATCATCCTGCTATTCATTAATCTATGAGCAACTTGAAGCCCCGTTAAATTAATTACAAGTAAATTAAAAATGTATAATGTTGCACTGTAAGGTGGCAGATATATTCAGTTGTTTGGAAATACTGTTTTTTTAATGTAACCATTGTCAGTATGAATAAAATATTTTTTTGAGAATGGGAGGTGGATGACACAGGATCATGTCCAATGATTGGATTCAGAATTAGTAATGTTCAGTTTTCAGGGTATGGTACCAGCCAGAAATTTATTTTTTCTTATTTCAACTAAATGATACCTAAAGGTTCAAAATTTTAAATGATCCAGGAGCCAAGAAACACAACCTAGTAAAAAGTTTGTACAGATACCAATAGTAGTCTGTCTTATGATTATTTGGCCATCATTAGCAATGTCAGTCTCATTTTCATGATTATTTCCATCATTAGCAATGTCAGTCTCATTTTATTTATTTTTTACATACAAATTCTCAGTGATTGGTTCTTGCTTGTCACTGACATTATAATTGATTTTAAGCTTTCACAGTAATTCATTGTTAATGTTGATATGTTAAACTACTTCTATAATGACAGTAATTAAGTCTGTTACTTTGATGGATGGTTATGATCATGATTTTACGTGCCTTTTACTCAATTCTAGTTAATAAAGCCAAGATACAATTATTATTATTATTTGTTGGCTGCTACCAACCGAACTGTTATTTGTCATGTACAAACAAAAGGTTAATAATGAATGTTAATCATAAGTTATAAAATTCTACTGAACTGTTTTATTTATAACATATACGTTTATATTAAAGATGATATATATACAAATTAAGATGGTTTGAACAGCATAAAAGCTGCTTCATAAAACTATCCAATTACTGTTAAACATTCATCACTTTTGTATTCTTTATTATTATTATAACAAGTGTTTTACAGCCTTTATGGCAATTTCTCACATTCTAGTTGCCACCTCGTCATATTTATCCATTTGTCTTCTCCCAGCTGTCTTCTTTCTATTGCGTTTACTTCATTCAACCTTCTATAAGTATATTTTCCTTGCACAATACTTTAGAGGCATTACTGAAGTAAAATAAATGTTCATTAGCTTGTATTTAAGCATACATTTACATTTCTGTAACAAATTTTAATTTTGTGATCTGTTGGGTTAGTTCATTATATATGTGTTAAGTCCAATCACTGTATAGATCACATGCATCTTCTGCATTTCAGTGATACTCTGAAAATAAATTAAGCCTGACCAGTTAGGTTCCACTTGATCCTTTCCACAATTGCATGACTTCAGTTAGGATGAAAAGACAAATTTCCATCCACAGAGGCTTTATTAAATGTGCACAAGCAGGTAATGTTTTTAGTAATGTGATATTGCTAAAGAAGGCCATGTTTTTGTTATTCTTGTTATTTGTTCTAAGCTGTGAATTTATGATTGAAAATTAACATTTTGGATCTCACAGACTAGGATCAGTATGTTTCAGATATAGTAATTTGGTTGTTAGTTTCATGGTAAACAAATTCACATGATATTGGTATAATGAGATAAGTGTTGGTTTAGAAATTCTGATTTTGAAGAATTTACATTGCACAGATTTTATAGTGATATGTTTGTAAAATTAAGCATGGCATGACAATTAAGACATAAATATTTACCTTTGAACATCATCATGATTGAATGGTCAGTGCTTCTGTTTCATGTTCGTAAGGTTTCAGACAAACTCTCAGCCCAGAGACCAGAAAAATTGATATTTTTGTGGTTTTCATTAGTCGTTCCAGGCATAGGATATGAAGCCATGTCCTTCAACATGAAATCATGGTCTGTCATTCTGAGAATTGGTTCACATCTGCCATATTCATTGAAAACAATTTAAATCATTTATTTCCTTTCACCATGTCTAGAAGCTAACAGGTGCAGATCTCATGCTTGGATTATGCACTTGATATGAAGTTATTCCACAACACAAAGAAATTTTATTGGAAACACTAAGATTGGGAGGCCTAGCCTGTGTGATAAACTATAAACATTGCTTAAACTAAACTGTACATTATGTGAGTGTGAAATCTTGCTACCTTAAACACATTTACTATTGCATGTAGTCTGCTTCTAAGTCAATTTTTATTTTGTTATAGCTTGTAGTCATAACCATTTATATATTCCTTGTGTGAATTAAAATTCTTTTTTAATTCTTGCTGGTGTGAAAATAGTTTATCACACTCGCTACACATATATGGCTTCTCTCGTGGATGGCTAATAATGAGGTCTTTTAATGTCAGTCACCATCTCTTACTGCAGAAACCATTAGATGTGGCTTCACACTCATATGTTCAGAAGTATGTTTTTGAATAGAACTACGTATTGAAAATCTCTTGCCACAAGTGTCACATTCATATGGTTTAGCTCCAGTATGGACAGTATTAAGGGTCATCAAAGGCAGGTTGCTGTGAGAACCGTTTATCATCAAAATGGTACCCCCCTCCCCTCCTGAGGGTGAACTGTTAGGTAGTGAGAACAACACGTTGTGAGAACCGTTTACAGCAAATGTTACACTGGAACGGTTTCTCCCCTGAGTGTATAAGCAAGTGTGTTTTAAGGTTCCAAGGTCTTGTGAATCATTACAAATATTATGCACGTCGTTTCTCTCCGCTGTGGATCGTGTAATGTTTATTTCGTGCATTTACTTGAAAAAAATTGTTTGTGGCACAGATGGCACACGTGATTCTTCTCCACAGTATGTAATTTAAACTGACCAGACTGCAAAAACCGTTTCCCACACAAGTATGATTTATGCCTGATCTGTAGTTTCTTAGCTTTGTCTATCTATGGTATTCACTACTGTCAATGTGAGTAGCAAATGTGGCAGTAGAAGTGAAAGTTTTTTGTCGAAGTTCTTGGCGGACCTGCAGATGATTACGTTCTCCTTCAGATTTTTCATAGTGTTTAAGTATACGTCGCTGTAAAAATTCTGTAAGTGGTTGGTGCTGGTCCTCGGGTTCTGTGGCTCGTCGTCTACGGCGTAATTCAGCATCCTGCTGCAAACGTGCCTTTTCCCTTCGTCTGCGTTGATAGGCAGCTCTCCAAGCCCTTCGTGTAGCTTCATCTTCTTGTGTGGAGAAATTATACCATTCGTTTTGTGATGGTAATGATGGTTCCTTGTCCTAACTTGATTGCATATAAGCAACTTGTCTTTGCTTTTTCTCAGATTCAGCCAAACTTTCTTTTACGCTTTCGTTATTTACTGTATTCTGAAAGTGTACTGGTAGTAGCATTCTCTTTTGTTTTTAACACGCTATGAGGGTGAGTGATACGTTAGTTTTGTGATGCATGTAAGTTATTCTGTGATAAACCAGTTCGGAATTTTGTGTTGTGAATGGAGTTTGTGTTTTTGAAGTTCTGTGCGAGAAGAATTCTTGATATTAAATTATTCTGAACCTGACAAGAATGAGGGGCATATTTTATAATATTAAGTAGCTAAATCTATAAGTACTGTATAGGTGTTGTGAAAAGAAAATTTTAAATTTATTTTGGAGGTTAATGCATCGTGTTCGAGGCGCATGGTATCGCATGATGGTAGGTTATTGTGTGGCTTGATGTAATATCCAAGGTATTATTTCTAAAAGCGCTGCCGGCTTTCATATCAATCTAGAATAGAATAGGATTTATTTACATTCCATAGATCCCTAACAGTACAACCCATGGTTGTGAAACGTAATACAAATGGAATACTCAATACAAACACAATAATTAATACAAAAATGCTATCCATACTTGTACATTAAAATATGAACTGCTGGGTGTGACACCCAACAGCCTTCAGGCATGCTTCACAGCACTTGAACAAGTTGCAACATTCTGAAGTTCACATTCAGAAATCTAAAGAAATACGTATTTCCTCATTGTGGAGAGCTTTATTAGTGGAAGTGTTGTTCATATAATTCCCTTTAGGTTTGTCCAGAGACCACTTGCATGCTACCGGCTATAATGTGTCATACTACCTGCTGGGAATTTTGGTTTTATTAGGTGATCTGTACCATAACCTAACTTATGTGAAAAAAATAAACATGAGACTAGTAACTAATAATTCTTGGCCAGGGAAGCTGGTTCCTATGCAGGCCTAAAGCAGATTAGTGATGAGCAAATGCATGGAGCAAACTGTATTATTATAATTTAGCCCTTTGAAGCTGAAGCTCATCTAAATAATATTTAAGAATGTAGTCGGAACCACAACCCCATTATTATAGTTGACAGTAATTGAAACAGTAGTACCACAGAGAAATTACGAAGATCATCTGGTTGATGCTATTCAAGTAAATAATTACTGTTTAATCTGAGAAGCATACAAGATCCATAAATACAAAATGCAGTGTGGTACTGATTTTAAAGCAGATGGTACAAGTAGGTATCACTTGGATCTGAAGGGTTAATATATGTTGTAATAATAATGATGATATTTGGTAGTGGTGGTGATTTTAGTTGGTAACATTAACTTCATATATATTTTTTTTAAAATGCTTACTTGATATTAGATAACAGTTAAATGTAACAGTTTTGGTGACTCTTTAAATATTGGCTGAAACTATAATTTCTTTCTTATGTGTATATGTTTTGTTTTGTTAAAAAATGTTTTTGTTACTTACTTAGATACAATGAAGCAGTTTAAAATGAAGAAAATGGGCAAAACACACCCTGGACAAAAGCAAAACTATTTGGCTGGTCAATCTGAAAAGTATGCAGGTGATGGTGATATCAGCAAAAAGTGGTACAATGTGGTAAGTTAACTTTTTGTCCCTTTTGTTTGCTGTTTGCCATGCATAGAAATAATAATGGATGTCAATGATGGAATTTCTTGTGTGTTTAATTGATTAAAAAGCTAGGCAGCCAAATTCTAGGTATTCTTAGATACTGTTTGTTTTGTGATATGTTTCCAAACTGTTGGTTAAGAATAGTGAGTATTTGGAATCATTTGCATGTGTATGACTGAAATGTATGGCAGATCATAGACATTACTTGGTCTTTGTAAATAATATAATACTGGAGACATTCACATACTACATAATCTTAGGAACATACCAGAATGCTTGTATTTAAGGCTGTGTAAGTAAGTAGAAGAGTTTTATAGATTATCAGACCTCCACCAAAAGTGTAATGTGAAATACAGTACCACTCTCAGTTCATGGAGCATAGTCCTTCCTGAGAAGCTAATAGTCACTCAGCTAGTTGAACTCTCCACCTCTTAAGGGATCCAAATGTTCTTTGTTGCATTTATAAGACCATGCCAGTGGCCACACTTTTCTAACCTCCTAATTTCAGGTTTTTGTACTAAAATTTTGTACGCATTTCATATCACTCCCATTTACGTGTGTTCTGCCCATCTCATTCTCCTTGGTTTGGTCATCCAAATAATTTTTCTTTACTTCAGTTTCAAGATGAGGAGGGAGAATTTCCACAGCTGTCAATGGACCAAATTGATAAACTGAGATGTGAAGCTCAGAAAATTCAGGAGCAAGAATCTGCATCTTACAATACTAGTAAGTAAATAATAGTTCCCTCTACTTAGTTGGAACTAAACTTAGAACTCTTCTACTCAGAAACTGTAATAAAATGAGCTCTAGTGGGTGTCAGGGGCTCTTTTTTCAGGGGATAAATGATGAGATGTAAAGCTGGCCTTTCCACTTCATTTAACTTGAGATCTAGACTACATGGATGTTTATCTTTATGTTCCCTATGTATAACTTTAAAAACATGGCATGTTGCTTTCCAGAGCATGCAGAAACTTAGGTTAGAAGTATTGCTGTTTCAGAAGTCTCGGAGAGTCGACTGAAGTCAGATTACAACTGGATTTACACCATTATGAATAAAGGAACAGTAGCCGACAGAGTTGCTTCTCATACTATTGCCATTCAAGACTCTCCAGTCCACACACTTGCATTACTTCGGAATCTTGTCAGTATGGTGAAAGTTAATAAGAAGAAGGAATGTACCATGGTTTTAGGTAAGAACCAACTTATAATGTATGGCTGAGGCAATTTCTGCGCTCTATCAAAATGTTTGGTATAGTATGAAAAGAAATTGATTTTGTATGCCACCAAATGTTGCAGCTGAGTGGTTAGCACTGGTGTTTCATGTTCAGAAGATGCTGGGTTCAAATGTCATCCCAGAGACTAGTTATCCTAGTTTCTTCATGGTTTTCCTCAGTCTTCAATGCAGATGCTGGGATGATATCTTAAATTAGCCACAACTGCTTCTTTCCATATCTTCCAATTCATCATTCTTTGGGCTTGATCATTCTATACATAATAATCAAGACAAAACATTTGTAGAACAATTTATATGAGCTTAAAAATTCAACCATTATGTAGAAAATTTTATGAAATGGTGGGAATAAGTTTTCATAATAGCTGCCATCTTATAAGTATTAACTGTTAATTTTAGAAATAAGTTGTTGTTTTCTTGATTGTGTAACACAAATTTTACAAGTCCATAAAAATAGTCATTTTGTGTCATATATTGGACCACATAATTGTTTCATTGATTGTGTACCACTTTATCACTTGCTACAAGACAATGAAGTTAATTTGATGAAACTTCTGGGCATAAAGATTTTCATAATTCTGATGCTTATTCTTAGTGTTGTATTTGTGATTGCCATGCATTTGTTTGCTGCAGATACTCTGACAGAGCTGTTCTTGTCAGATTTGCTACGACCAGATCGGAAACTTAGAGAATTTGAAAAGTGCCCCCTCGCACTTCTAGACAAGTACAGTTCTGGTAACCATGTAAAAAAACATTCACTGGTATTATGAAGATCAACTAAAAAAATTGTATTGTGGTTTTATTGTGGCACTGAACACAGTTTCCCAAGACTCTGTAGAACGGAACAAGGAGAAAGCAATAACAGCTACATATAAACTTCTGGCAGGAAGTCCCGAACAAGAAGCAGTAAGTGAACGTGCACTGCATAAACCAGTATTTCAAAATGCAATGCTGCTGGACATTGTCTATTATCTGATGTATTTTTAATATGCATGATGTATCTGGGGTTGGCTCTGCTTCTGTCTGTAGGTGATTAGTTGCAATTTTATGGACAGAAAGTAAAGTCAATAAATATGATCCGTTAGTATAATTACAATTTGTTACCAGAAGACACTTAGACATCTTGTGTGATGACATAATTCAATATTAGTCATTGTCACAGACATTTATAGAATCAACCTCCTTCTTATGAATGTCTCCATGACAAAGTGTTGAATCTTGAATGTAACATTACAGTGGTTAGCATTCCAGCTATGTGTGAGAAACTTCCTGGTTAGTATCCCAATCAGGAGACTGACTTACAGTTTGTTATCTTGGTTTTCCATAGTCCCTCTAGTCCCAGCAGTAATATTCTAGACTTGTGTCAGGAATATACCTGGTTCAAATCTTGTATTAATTTCCCCGATGCCACTGATGATGACCTCTTGAGGTCGAAACGCGTATGGCAATAGTGTCTTATTATAGTGTTAATAGTTGTTGGTTTGCTTACTCTAAAATCTTGACAGGGTTACCAGCAATTTTTACTGAAATATTTTTTGGTTCTTCTCAGTCTTTCCAGGCAGATGCCTATCATAGATTTCCATTTTTCCCTTGAAGATTGTAATATATTGAGGAGAATGATTGTCAGAGGGGGCATACAATGTAACATAGGCCTGATATTTCTCATATTTGCAAGTTTTGAAACTAGCTGGTTTTGAATAAAAGACCTGTAGCACTTGCAGTAGTCGACACATTCACTCCAGTTTCCACAGCTGGCCATTTCCCAGTGTTTTGTCCAGACTACTGTATCTGACTTAGATCAGTAGATCAGACAGACAGACACCTATAGTAAGGAAAAAAATCTTTAAAAAACAAACTTTGAGCATGTAGTTGTTGCTAAATAGTTCATGTGGCTACCATGTGTAATTTTTTGAACCTATGTAGGTTGTTTGCTATTCATTGTTTTACCACAAAATAGTGCAAACTGCTGGTGTACCAGTAGAACTGGCTTTGTTGACAGGTGATCCAGCATCGTAGTTGCTTGCAGTGAAGGGTTATTTTACATTTATAAAATTACTAACTTAAATTTCATAAAGAATTTGCTTATCATGTTAATAAACTTTACACTGCATGAAATATGTCTTTAACTTTCATGTAAAACTTTATGTGGTGGATACTTAATATGATATAGAAAAGACTTTGTGTTATATTGTGTGTACAGGTGTTTAATGGTTTGCTCATATTCCTGTCTGCTTTGTCTGGAAGGACTGAGGAAAACTATAATGTATAGTAGTTGGGGCAAATCTGTGAAGTCCAGATCCATTAGAAGTAAATAGTAAAGAATCAGAAGAGTGGGAGGGATAGCAGGCAAGGAAGTTTATACTGTCCATACCATGAACATTATTTATTGGCAACAGTACTTTGTACAGGTAGCCCTCAATTTACACCGGGGATGCATTCCTGGATGAGTCGGCGTAAATTGAAACTCGTTTATAATGTAAATCATTTTTCCAGCACCCAAACATTGATGAGTAATATAATGACATTACATTTAAAGCTCTGAAATAAC